ATTCTTCTTCTTCTTATTTATTTTATTCAGAATGCGTGAAATGTGCCCTGTATTAGTTTTGGCATGGATTCTGTCCGTATCAATTAATGTGTTAACTCTGCCCCGTTTTGATTAATGCTTGAACTCCGCCCTTGGCAATTTAAGCACCCTTTAAACTTAACATGCGTCCTTTCTGCGTCTCGTAGTACGGCCCTGTTTGAGAGCAAAAATAAATAAATACATAAATAAATGAATAAATAAATAAAATATGAATAATACTTGACGTGCTGATAACTAGCCATTGGGCATTCATTTTACTATCAAAGCGATGATTGCACCTCCTCAACCTCAACGATGCCAGTTGCATGGTAGCACAAAGGACGCAGAAAGGAAGCCTTCCATTGTAAAAGGGGTTTAACACGCGAATCCTGCTCTGTATCGTTTAATGCATGAACTCTGGCCCGTATCAATTAATGCATGAACTCAGCATTGTGTCAATTAATGCATGAACTCTGCCCCGTATCAATGCATGAAATGGAGGTGTTTCGTATCAATTAATAGCTGAGCTTTGTACCGTTTTAATTGATGCATGAACTCCGTTCCGTGTCAATCAATGCATGAAATACATGCATGTCCTATTTTAGAACGCACGTATGCACTCAACAGAAAAGCAGATCGGTGATGGTTTCTCAACGAGCAAGCAGGCAGCAATATCAACGATATATATATAGTTGTGGCCTGTTCGGTTGGGCCCGTTGTACAGGTGAAAGGTAAGTAGAGTTAGACTATACTTATTGTGTGATAAAATTAATGACCATAGGTTGTGACATTTTACAGACATACGTTTGCACTGAAAGAAGCGGTAGATCAGTTATGATTTACACCTCAGCGTCTCGGCAGCAGTACCAAAGGTACTCCACTAAAGCCTTTTGGAGGTCGCAGACAGCACGTAGAAAATTTTCGACATGATCAACAGCCGCTGAGTGAGGTCAACGAATTCTCAAAAAATGGATAAAAGGAAAGTTTGGCGTAGTCAAACGAGATTTTATGGCGACAACAATCTCCAGAGCTTATTTACGCACATGCGCATTCTGCACATGCTAAATTCTACTTAGAGGGGTGGTCCCAATTGAGGCACATGTTGCTACTTATACAGTGCCGCCGGAATCTCCCCTTACTTACCCTCCGGGTCGCTGCCCATTGTACGGACGGCCTGGCTCGGTAACTATGGAAATAACATTGTCATCCATACGCTGTTTGGTTTCTGTTAACAATAGTTCCATACCCTTCCCGTCGGGCAATTATCGTGACAAACTTTCTGCTAACAAAAGAGCCTAACCCTAGCTCGCTGAGATAAAGATCGAAGGTGAGCGTGGTCGCAATTAAGTGTTCGTCCAAGCGTTAATTGACCTTTAATGCGCGGTGGCTTCACTCTACTTTGATCACTCTACTCTGATACGGATACTTGTACATGTAATATTTATTAGGCTTCTAACTGTCTTTACTATATACATATTATTAACAAGATTGCAATTTATTTTTATAGTATGTCCTTATATTTCTATTAGTTTTGTTCATAGACGAAATGCATTTTTTCCAAAAAGACTTGTTAGTTGTTTTAGTGATAAACATTTTGTTAGCCATATCTTTAATATAGTTCAGTCTATATTTGCACATAGGATCTCTCCCATCTACACCCGTAACATTTCTGTCCTTTCGTATTCGTTCATCAATCGTAAACAACCTTCCCATCAACTGAACGCAAAAGTTGCCTGGGGAACTGGCCCGTTGTCGAATTTCGAATATTTCTTTATTTGACAAGGCGACGGGTGGCCGGCCGAAAGACTGATTCCTTGATTCTGTAGGGCGCAAAGTAGGAACTGTTACTCTATCATTGTTTGATATGTAATTCAAAACGATAGGAATAGTTCATCTTTACGATCTAAAGCCCAGACTTAACCAAAAGCCTTCTTCATACTTAAAAGCATCAAAAGAAATTAATTTAAAAAACTGGATTACAATCTCTCGGGCTAACTTCACTGGTTGGCACGTGTCATCTCACATTAATTAACAATCAGTTCAGGTTAGCTTTATTCATGCTGGGTAAACACAGTGATTAAGCCCTAACTATTACATAATCACTACTGTGTGACACGCCTCGTCTAAAATTAATGTTAACATTGCGATGACACTCTTCAATCCAAACTAATCAATTGCACATTCATGTAATTCTAAATCAACTGACACGTGTCAACAGATTTGTTTGTGTATCTGGACTTCCTAAATGGCCAATAAGTATTTTGTTTAATATGACATGTTTATGTCACTGATTTCCATGCCATCGTGTCACCTGCCAAGTGAACGGTATAAATCGACACTCAAATTTTCCAAATCATTACAATTCCAAGATGCCTCTTAGCGATAACGTGCGTCTGCGTATCATCGCCCTCCGAGAACAAGGGGTGCGAATTAAAAACACAACCGCACAAATGGAAAATGAAGGCCATAAAGTGTCGCGACAAGCCATTTACTATGTGTTAAAGAAATACGACGAAGGGCTTGGTATTGCAGATAAGCCACGAAGTGGACGTCCCTCAAAGGTTGACCTGCGCCACATGAACGTTATAGACGAGGAGATGGCCATATTAACGCAGAAAAGTGTATTATACAGTAATAAATATATTAATCACCTAAAGAAGGTGATTCCAGCGGTAATTGAGAGAGAAGGTCGTGCATCAGGCTACTAAACTAGCAACACATGTAATAAAGGTAATGAGACATTGATATTTATTTGTTGTATTAGCTATTTAAAATTTTCCATTTTAACTACGCTTTTGTTGATCGTGACTTATTATCATCAAATAAAATTGTTATACGCGTTTTAAAACTAAGCCTGATTTGTTCTTCAGAGTTTTGTTCTAATATTTGACTTGCCTTTACTCAAGTCTTCTGTTGCAGTTGATACATAACCCGGTATTGTTTGCTCGTGTCGATAGCAATCTCTTTGCATCAGCTATAATAGAAACCTTAAGTGAGGCAATTAAGAAGGGGCAGACCGTGTTCGTTGAACCGACTAATTTGGGTGTCCGATAAGGATTGCTTGGGGATTCCCCTACCCTGTAATTATCATACGGCCTCTATTGTTCGACCATATGGGGCAGGGTTGGGAAACCGGGACATTCCGGCGGCACTGTACCATGGAGTGTCACTCGTACTTATTTCATGCTCACCACGTGCTCTCTCTGCACGTGTGGACCTTACGGGCTTCGTGCATGTTGAAAGAATAGTGGTCACTCCATGCGCACGGACCGTGAGTTTAAAAGGAGGGGCATGAACGAAAAAGCAATGTTTCTGCCTTTTATTTCAAGTTTTAAAATGCCTAAAAAGACAGCAAAGAGCAAGAGTGGGAGAGGAGGATCGGGGGCAAGCCGGTATGATTGGGCTCACCATCTTTGAACACTGCTGCGGATATAATAATATCCTCAACCATGTTTTTATACCAATCTTTTTGGCCGTGAACCAGACGTAGAAGCCCGTACGTTGGGTTGGGACCCAGGCTTTATGTGCGGGTTTGCAGGGTGGAAGCCGTTCAGCAGATACAGGTAGAGGATTGGGGGGGGGGGGGGGGGGTTGTAGATCCCTCTTTTTTATCCTTTTTGTATTTTCTGTCTAATCTAGACTTAAGTGATTAAAGTAAAATGTTCTTCTATCTTCAATTTATAACAATTCCCTTTTTTCGTAATTCAACATATTAATAATATATTGCATGTTTATACTAAAGTGCTTCATCTACAATGATAACTCAAACGGAACTTGCTTTTGTTTATACTTCAGTCGTTTTATTAGCTTAATCAGCTCACGTGGGAAATTAAGAAGTCATGGGGTTTCAAAATATTCGGCATCAAACAAGTGTAAAGTATGTCGCATAACCACAAATTTCTGTCCTATAGTCTTTGGCGCCAATCTGATAGATTTACCTTTCTCTTTCTTTCCTGGACTATACTTATTCAGTTTCATCAGTTAATATGAATGGGAAGTTCAATGGCGTTGGTGTTTGATATACATGTATCTACTGTATGCAGGGGGGTTCCAAGTTAAATATCAATCACAGCAAAAATATGTGCAGGATATAGGGTACGCGGTAGCCCCTGGTCGCTGTTTGTATTCGCTCAAGGGTTATTCCTTTCTTAGAATAAGTTTCCTTTGTGTCTGATTAAACACTAACAAAGTGGTTATTAAAGCATAAACTATAACTATGCCAGTTAATGATAGGAATTGCGAAAAAGAGTATGTAGATCGTAACTGTTTTAGCAGTTCTGGAATTGGTGATAAAGATAAAATTACTGAAATTTACAATTTCTTACAAAATATTAGTTGGGGAAATGACAGCCCGTATAATTCATATCTTCCCCAACAAGCTTCACGTTTTCAGATCCTATACAGCATATTACTCCCGGTCAGTGTACCACACACAATATTATCAGACTCACGTCTGCTGCTCTGGCTGGAAACAAACCGGAACAACCTGTAACACACGTAAGTGACACACATATGAAATACAAACAATGCTTTATCTATTTCTATTAATTTATTTATCATTTAATTTATTTCATCCTACTTTAATAAAGGACATTTTCAATAAATGTTAAGTTTTAACATAATCCTGGTTCATTTTCCTTGACTAGTATGCATTTCTTTTCTATAAAAGCAATCTGTAGTCGTGGGTGTGTCCACGGCTCTTGTACCGCCCCCAATGTGTGCACCTGTACAAGCGGTTACAGTGGAGCACTGTGTGATGTTGGTAAGTAGACGTTGTAGTAGTAGTAGTAGTAGTAGTAGTAGTAAGAATTAATAGTTACAATTACTATAGGTTTTTTAGCAGCAATACAAGTAGTATAGTTACTGTAGTAACACTGCAGTTAGAAGTACTTTTTCAAATTGTCTTGTCATGCATTCAAGAGAATGCTGAAATTATTCGTGCATTAAATGCATCCTCTTTGTGGTCTTATACTTTGTTGCAGATATCAACGAATGCACGGGTTCCCATGGCTGTCAACACAACTGTGTGAATACTGCAGGAAGTTACAGGTGCACGTGTAGAACTGGTTATGTATTGTATGGCACTAAAAACTGTAACGGTGAGTTTTACGTTGAAGAAAAGAACAGATATTTCAATAATTGTCTATATTATTATTATTATTATTATTATTATTATTATTATTATCCTGTCTTGTCATGCAGTCAAGAGAATGCTGAAACTATTTGGGTTTATTGCATCCCTTTTGTTGTCTTATATTTTGTTGCAGATATCAACGAATGCACGGGTTTTCATGGCTGTCAACACAACTGTGTGAACACTGCAGGAAGTTACAGGTGCACGTGTAGAACTGGTTATGTATTGTATGGCACTAAAAACTGTAACGGTGAGTTTTACTTTGGAAAAAATAACATGTATATCAATGATTGTCTATATTTTTATTATTATTATTATTATTATTCTGTCTTGTCATCCATTCAAGAGAATGCTGAAACTATTTGTGCATGAAGTGCACCATTTTTGTTATCTTATACTTTGTTGCAGATATCAACGAATGCACGGGTTCCCTGGACTGTCAACACTACTGTGTGAACACTGCAGGAAGTTACAGGTGCACGTGTAGATCTGGATATGTATCGTATGGCACTAAAAACTGTAACGGTGAGTTTTACTTTGGGGAAAAGAACAGATACTTCAATAATTGTCTATGTTATTATTATTATTATTATTATTATTATTATTATTATTATTATTCTGTCGTGTCATACATTCAAGAGAATGCAGGAACTTTTTATGCATTAAGTGCAACCAACCTCTTTGTTATGTCATACTATGTTGCAGATGTCAACGAATGCACGGGTTCCCATGGCTGTCAACACAACTGTGTGAACACTGCAGGAAGCTACAGGTGCACGTGTAGAACTGGCTATGTGTTGTCTGGCACTAAAAACTGTAACGGTGAGTTTTACGTTGAAGAAAAGAACAGATATTTCAATAATTGTCTATTTTATTATTATTATTATTATTATTATTATTATTATTATTATTCTGCCTTGTCATGCATTCAAGAGAATGCTGAAACTATTTGAGTATTAAGTGCATCCTCTTTGTGGTCTTATACTTTGTTGCAGATATCAACGAATGCACGGGTTCCCATGGCTGTCAACACAACTGTGTGAACACTGCAGGAAGTTACAGGTGCACGTGTAGAACTGGTTATGTATTGTATGGCACTAAAAACTGTAACGGTGAGTTTTACTTCGGAGAAAATAACATGTATATATATTTCAATATTTGTCTCTTTGTATTATTATTATTATTATTATTAATATTTTGTCTTGTCATGCATACAAGAGAATGCTGAAACGATTTGTGCATTAAGTGCAACTACTTTGTTGTCTTATACTTTGTTGCAGATATCAACGAATGCACGGGTTTTCATGGCTGTCAACACAACTGTGTGAACACTGCAGGAAGCTACAGGTGCACGTGTAGAACTGGTTATGTATTGTCTGGCACTAAAAACTGTAACGGTGAGTTTTACTTTGGGGAAAAGAACAGATATTTCAATAATTGTCTATTTTATTATTAATAATATTATTGTGACAAGCTAACAATGGGGAGAACATGCTTATGTTGCGATATTAATAAGCAAAACTAATGAACAATCTAATACATAGTGAAAACCAAAACTGAAATAAGATAAAATGAAACTTGGAACATTACAATAAGCACCATAGAACCAAGGTTTTTAACCCTTAAAAACCCATAACATCCAGTGGTAATTTTCCAGATGCCTACCACATTGAAAATAAGCATGATTTATGTAACCAATATTTTTTGAGAAACAGCGGTTGTTTCGAGCACCGATCTCATGGAATGGATCAATTTATTTATTTTTCTGACATAAACGAATATACTGCATGGACCCATAGGTGTGATCACACGTGTCATAATTCTATTGGTAATTACTACTGCACGTGACGAGATATAGAAAAAAATCATTTAATTCTCCAAAGGTCCATCAGATTTCAAGAAATGTTCTAGATTATACTTTAAAATATGTACGATAATTCCGCAAAGTTTCGGTTATCTTCGTCATTTTAAAATGTATTAAAATTTCTTGAAATTTGACCTTTGCAGGATCCATTGAAATTTTTGTGGAATCTGTTATTTTTATTTTTTTATTTATTTATTTATTTTTTTTTTTTTGGAGGGGGTCAACTATGTATGTTTATATCTGAGTTATTTTGTTAGTAAATGAAAGTATAGTTCACATATCTGTAGCTTACTGCATTGAATTTGCATAGATCAGTATACTGTATTTCATAATGTCATTATGTAGCGGTCTATATTGTGTACTGGGGATTTGCGTGGTAGATCTTCCTTGTACTCGAAGTTCGTAGTGCGTGATTCAGAGACTATTTAACATATTGGGTTTAATCTAAACTACACAAAAATGGTAAGGTCATATCTATTTTGAAACAAATGTTCTTTTCAGATATTGATGAATGTTCAACCAATAAAGGTGGATGTTCTCAAGTATGCTCCAATATCCCGGGAAGTTACCGCTGTAGTTGTAATGTTGGCTATGCCCTGCAGGCGGACAGCCACTCGTGTAGAGGTACATTGTGTTTGCTGTGGTCCCTATAAAAATATAACAGGAGTTAGGACTTGATTTTTCAAACACGAGATTTCGATTGTTGCCAATTATATAGGGACATCTCGCATTTTGGAACAAAGACTGATTCAAACAATATGTGATAATTCGTGATTTATTAATTTTGAAAATATTGAGCTAATATTTGATGCCATTAAGTAAATCCAGATGTCTAACGAATTTGATTTTTAACATAACCAAAGATAGCGACGAATGTTCCACTGGCAATGGTGGTTGTACTCACACCTGCACCAACACGGTGGGAAGTTTCTTTTGTACCTGCAGGACTGGATTTGTGTTGGATGGGAACGGTCTGACTTGCTCTGGTAAGGGTGATATAGGGTTCATAATAATATAACTCTGTTATCGATACAAATATATATATATATATATATATATATATATATATATATATATATATATATATATATATATATATATATATATGCCAAAGGCCCAGACAAAATCTAGTCCTACGCCTAAGAAGTCCAGACCCCATGTTAATTACGCCCTGGCTGGGCCGTCTTTATGGTGCATTGTTAACAGCATAAAGGGCATGTTTATTGACCATTTTGTTTGTGTGGCATGTGTAATTAAAAAGGGGATGTCTTAGACCAAGTTAACTGGCCATTAGGATACAATTTTAAAAACTAATAAGGTCTCAAATTTATCTTTCAATACCATACTTACATTCGACATCAATCTGAAAGATTTAACGATGTTTTTTTTATTTCAAACTATATTGTTTGCAAAGCCTAGTATCCGTTTTTGATTGATTCTTTAAAATAAGAATACAAATCTGTGATATATGTTATGTTATAGAAGATATCACTCAGAATACTGTGAAATGGTCCATCATACACACTCTTTTCTATGAATCAAAATCCAGAAATTTGAACAACTTGTAGTTTAAAAAAATGAGTGAGTGTTACTTAAAACGTTTTGTAATGTTCGAAAAAATTGAAAATATATGTGTTAACACGTTTACATTTAATTGGTAAAACTTATGCTGATTATAACCAATATCAGAACTAAATGTGAGCTTATTTATCTCAATTTAAGACCATGACGAGTGTTTAACGTCCCATCATGGCTGCGAGCAGAAATGTAACAACCTTCTTGAGAGCTACTACTGTTCCTGCAACAAAGGCTACGTCCTTGCTGCCGACAAGAAACTCTGCAACGGTAAGGCAAAGAAGCCGTCTATTTTACAAAAAAAAAAAAAAAAAAAAAAATCGAATCAAATCTTCTGCTTTCCTATTTTTACTGCCCATAAAATATGGCTCTCGGGTGATGGAATGCATTTGTCCAAAATAGCACGTGTAAGGTGCTTTATACTGATCTGAGTGCCAAATGCTATATCCAGTTAGCACATAGTTGGTAAAGCGATGAAGCCGATTGAGACAAGATAGCACTGGTTTTGTAACATTGGTAAAATTCATATACGAATTATGTTTTTCAGATGTTGACGAATGCAGTAACGGGACTCATGCATGTGAAAATAACTGTCACAATACACGTGGTAGCTACACGTGTTCATGTAGAAATGGGTATGAACTGGCGTCCGATGGACGTGGATGTACAGGTAAATACAGTGTTATCAGTCCATATACATAATACGCATCGCAGTGAAAATGACAGACGTGCATGCTCATTCACAGGTGTCCTTGAAGAGAGGTGCTTGTTAAAAAAGTTTAAGAATAATTAAAAAGAGAAGAAAACGAGTGTTGGACGTCACATTATGGCTGTGAGTAATCTTTTTGGCAATTACCTCTGCTCTTGCAATAAAGGTTTTGGTCTTGCCACTAACAAGAAATTCTGCACCTCTGTGTCAAATATGTCATTTAACTCGAAAACTTTCTTCCTTACATTCATTTTTGTAATTTCCCGTAATGCATTCATAGGGGTAAACATTTTGCCTAAGGTTGTAATTCCAATAACTCTATTTAAGCAGGATGGTGGAAAATAATATTTTAACATGTTTTACTTTTTTCCAGATGTTAACGAGTGTAGTAACGGAACTCATGCCTGTGATCATAACTGTCACAATACACGTGGTAGCTACACGTGTTTATGTAGAAATGGGTATGAACTGGCCTCCGATGGACGTGGATGTACAGGTAAATAGTATGCCATTAAGCTTGTATATATTAGCTTCTATAAATATATATATAAATATATATATATATATATATATATATATATATATATATATATATATATATATATATATATTTTTTTTTTTTTTTTTTGTGGTGAACATGCTTCAATGTACATGTAGTTGTATATGCTAGATGAAATTTTGATCTTAGTAAATGATAAAAGCAAATGTCTTTCCCAATAAAACCGCTGGATTTTGTAACATTTGGTCACATTCAACAAATCTACATTTTACTTTTCAGATGTTGACGAGTGCAGTAACGGGACTCATGTCTGTGATCACAACTGTCACAATACACGTGGTAGCTACACGTGTTCATGTAGAAATGGGTATGAACTTGTGTCCGATGGACGTGGATGTATAGGTAAAATATTCTACTGAACTTGATTGATGCATTTTATTTTTAGCTGATCATATAGCTAATGTAATTTCCAATACGACTTATTATTTTGGTAACATTTAGTCACATTACACAAAGTAACATTTCTTTTTTTTTCAGATGTTGACGAGTGCAGTAATGGGACTCATGTCTGTGATCACAACTGTCACAATACACGTGGTAGCTACACGTGTTCATGTAGAAATGGGTATGAACTGGCGTCCGATGGAAGTGGATGTATAATTATTGGTAAATAATATTATGCTTATGGACTCGCGTGCTAGGTAGCGAGCATGCTTTGCTTGACGCCATTAAGTACTAGACTAGAAACTTAACCCTCAAGAGACCGAGTGGGGTCATTTACGACCCCAGACATATGATATAATGTGCCATCTCTTTATTTTTTATTCAAATTTTCTTTCCTTGCATGAGTTTGTCAGTCTACTAATCCTACACACTTTCACATTTTTTTTGTATGGATCAACTAATTAGTGTGGCGTATACATAACAAACTCTTGTGGGGTCATTTATGACCCCAAAGAGAAGCATTGGTTTTTAAATATTAGTTTTTAAATTTTATTCAAATGTTTTGCCCACGCAACACTGACAAGGAAATGCCACATGCATGTGCCTCATGCAACTAGCCAGTGTGCTCAAAACATAGGCACAGATAAGTGGTTTGTGAAGATTAAGCTTGAAATGTNGCTATTTGAACTGCCTGACAATATGCTTCATGGTCACTCCAGCTTGATGGGTTCATATTATTTGCCATTCAAACGCCATCTACAAGTTTCAATGGCCTGCATAAACTGTTGTCGATAAGAGGTTGTACGGATTTACCCTGAGCGCCACACTTATATATATAATGAGAGAGATAATATACTTAGTATTCTATACTTGAAGGTAGCTTACAATTGGTAAGCGTTGTGCCGTTACTCTGTGCAGATATTATTTTGAGTGTAAGGCCTACTTCTCGTCTTAACATGAAATAAGTCAACCACCTACAACTTAGGGTTAGTCTGTTCAATCCCCTTTCACTCGACGAAAAGGAGCCAAGGTGTTTTAATTCCGTGGTTGAACTCTTTGCGTTTGAAATGATATTAATACTGTGTACCGAGTGTAAAGGAACAAACATTCGTCATCAAGATAATTCAGTAACTAAGATTGTACATGTACGTATTATGAAACCTGATCGCTCATTATATCTATTTTATTGTATTTTTTAAAAATCGATAATGTAAGGGCACGCACGCACAAGACATTCAGGCTTTTGCAAAAATAATCATAATCATAATCATAATAATAATTATTAATAAAATAATAATAGTAATAATAAACTGTCCTAATATCAAACCATTGAAAATTGCATTGTATGAATTAGGAAAAAACTGTTACGTTCTGGTTTATAATTTTACCATAGGTCAACACTTGGAGGCGGTAGTTGATGCAGCAGCTCCAGGTGATCAGGGTACAGCAACGCCTGTAAGTCTGATCACCGGCGTGACATTCGCCGTCATTGTGGCCGTCGCCATCATCGCTATCTCGGTTTTCTTTGTATGTCGACACTATAGGAACAGGGACAGACGACCAGCGACAGAACGCTCCTCGGCACCAGCTGTTACCTATGAAAACACGGAATTCCTGACAGCATCAAAACACAGAACGGAGAAGAATCGTGATGGGAGGCAACATACGGGGCCTTGGACTGTGCAAACCGGTACTACTAATGTCTCGAACCCAGACCAGCCCTGTGAAGGCATTCTGGCAAAGGACAGCGAGGAGCAGGGTGCGTACACGAAGTTAATCTTCGGAGAGGAGGTGCCGACACCTATCGGTGAATATGAAACTTTGTCAGCCTACCAACGCAGAGCCCAGCAAAACGACTATGAATAGTCGGCTTAGAAATCATAGTAAGGTCGAGTCATTAGAAAAAAAGCAACAGAGGAGATTTGGGACCTAAGTTTTAATTTTTCTGACCATATAATATGGCAAACTAGATCGCTATTGAACTCTCTCTCTTCCTCTCTCTCTCTCACACGCACATACTCACACACACACACACACACACACACACACACACATACACACAGAGCTTGCGTATGGACGATATTATATCTTGTATACCGACATGTACAGATTATGCACATATATTTGCACGTCCACGATACTGGTTAACAACATTGGGACATGGGCAACATGCCGCCGATCTTGTGAGCACGCTTTTCGCTTATAATAAGCATCGTATTTTGCTTTATATTCATAAATTTCTGAAAATATAACATTAAACAAAATGTTTAGTAAAGTGTACACTTACCTGTAACTTTGCAGAGATGAGAAAGCATGCTGCAATCCTGAATCGGCGGTTAAAAATGAAATTGTCTCTTGTGTGTACGCTTTCCGTTTATACAGGCATGACTGTAATGGTTTGTAAAAATATCATTCCTTATCACATGCCTACTATATAACTTATGTGGTATTCAATATGCGTTAGACTTTTATTTAGCATAAGATTGATTTTATTGAAAATTTCAGCAGGTTTCCCTTTATCATTGAGACATACCTTGGCTACTGGTGCGTCTATGACTGTGGAGAAATTACCGCCAATAAATTCGTTTTCCAGTTCATATATTTCGAAATTTCGTCATCATAATTGAAATTCACCTGTCTGTATCCAGACAGTAATTATTTTGTACTATATGAAGATATACTGCTCAACTTGTAGCTGTGTGCATAATTGGCAATTTCTTCAGGTTTTTTATTTTATTTTATTATTATTATTATTTTTTGTGATGTCTATGCTTCCATCAGAGACTTGGCTATTCTTTTTTTTTTGGATACTTGTGCACAGGGCCACATATTGATTTTTCACTAGATATAAAGAGATATGTCTCTGCATGGTTAAATAGATGGCTAATCTCTGTACTGTCACAGCAAAAAGGAAAAAAACTGCGGCCCTGGTAGAGGGTCACAAGGTCAACTACTGTGGATGCTTTAATTCGCAGTTTAAAACATCATAAAACGATACCGTTTACGAATTTTTAATCAATGTATAAAACGAAATTGATGTATATATCACCTAGCGGATAAGATAAATTTGATAATTGTAATACGGTAATAAAAAGCAATGGAATAAAAAGTAAAATAGTGGAATCTCCAAAGGATGAATAAGGATGCAAACAGTGTAAAATATATTCTATCATCTGAGCAAATAAGTTTCCCTAACAGAGAGCCTCGTGTTGCTCTCTGGACCTTGACTTCGGCTACGCTAAAATCTGGGTGTGTCTGTTTCCAAAGTTGTTAAATTATAGGCATTACTTCCGCGTCTGGGCCTGAATGCTACTTGTAAGGTTCTTTTCACTTCCAGTTGTTTGATGAAGCGCTGAATTCTGCACACGTATACAATGACATGGGTGTGCCCGAAATTGCTAACTGAGGCATTACTGATGCCCCTGGGCCTGGGTGCTACTTGTAAGGCTCTTTTCAATTCGAGCTGTTAAATTTATCGATAAATTATGTACCCGTTTACTTTGGCATGGGCGTTACCGAAGTTATTAACTGAGGCATTACTTCCGCGTCGGTTCCTAGATGCTACATGTACCTGTAAAGCTTTTTTTGCAGTTCAGGCTGCTTGATGTAGCGATAAATCCTGTATTGACAGTCCTAACGCTACGTAACGGGGGGAAGAGGGGGGTTAACTCCTCTTTCCAAGTTCTTCACAACTTCACTCTCTGTTGCTAAATTAATTTTAAACAAAAAATTTTAAACAAAGATTGCGAATTACTCGAAAAAAACTCTTCTATCAAGAAGAATAATTTACTTAGTCGCTTATCCAAATTAAGCAGCCTTAACTAAGCCGAATATATAATTAGCCTGTCATTTATTTTTCACACACAAACCGGGATCTAACAGGGTGTGCAAATTTGAACATGTTCAGTAATACATCATACATATGTCACTTTTAAACCAACTTAAACAGACAGAAGTGACAAAACGAGAGTCACTTTCAACACTTCTCTTCGCACTGTTGGGCAGATAACTGCTTAATACAATCCGGTACATTTTTTACTTCCGAGAATTTGATACAAGCGACATACACTGTACTACCTGGTGCATAAGGAATTGTCGACCCATTCATACATTTATGCGTAAACTTCCGCATGTGACCCATGTGACAACAAGGGCTGATTTATTTCAGACCCAGTCATTTGCGTTAAGTGTTTCTTTCTATGCGATCGATAACCAGTGTTAACGTGGATAATTTAAACCAGAAGTGCTTGAATACCTCAGTCCGTCTCGGGAAATTGTCACGGTAAGTAATTGTGCGTATGTGTTTTAATCTTCATACATGGGAGACCTAGGGTTTGACTCTGGGGGTGATGGGGGGGGGGGGGTCATGAGACGAAATTATTAGAGGGGGACAATTTTTCTGAAGTATACAGGGGACATAGCTCGGACAATTGTGATTATTATTATATTTTTGGGGGGTGGGGGGGTGGGGTCGGGGAGTACAGTGCACCTTCGAAACTTTGGGTGGAGGGGTGTGACCCACTGTTCCTACCACCCTGTACCGTTATTGTTTATGTTGCTTTGCTGTGTTTTCTCGAGATAGGTTTTAAAGTTATGCGGGTACACTTGAGATGTCATTGTCGTTTAACCGTATGATAAAAAAAATAATAATAATCTTTTAGTAGTTTTGTAAGTTGCGACCACCGCAAAGCAAATCGCAAACACTTAATCCGCTCACCTACCCGTTCGGCACGTTTCGTTTGTGCCGGAGATTGCCGAGAGTGCATATATCCCTTATTGAAAATATTTTACATGCTGGTGTCATTGTTTCTAGATTTGCATAATTTTTCTCATTTATTTCAATTTCTGGAATAACTGTATCCACTTCTGGCTCATATGCAACTAATATATAAAAGATATAGTATAAATGTGATAACAAAATTGAATTGATTTTTTTTAAAATCGACAACAGAAAATTTTATGGAATTTCTATTTCCCCTTGAATATGATTGCATAGGAAGGAATTAACTCTGAAGTATACACGAAAAATTAAAAATCTGTATACCTGAAGGCAGCTTTGTACATGAAAGAGATCTATAATTTATCAACATCCTTTACAAAATATAGTCTGTGACTTCCCTCACCCCGACATAGATTGACTGGGTCTTTAGAATTAATTGCCTAGTAGTGCGTGCGTGTGTGTGCGTGTGTGTGTGCGTGTGTGTGTGCGCGCGCGCGCTCGCACATCTCTCTTTTTTGTCATCGTCTAGCCTATGTGTATCTCACTATACGAATACTTTCTTCCACACCTTATGTGTGGAGACGTGTTTGTTTTTTCAAGTGTTGGTTTCTTTTCACGTTTCAAACAACAAATAAATACTTCCGTTTTGACATGTAAGTGTTGTACATGTATTGATAAGTACCAAAGAAAACATAGGCAAAAAAGAAATGTTAAATACACATTGGACCATATCGCCGGTAAATGCCCCACATAGGACAGCAAGAAAAGCGACTTGCAGAAACTAGGGAGACAAGTAAACAGTTCAGGCAGGAAGAGAAAACCGAATATTTATTCATCCCATAATTTCCGTTTGCTGATCACTTCCTTAAGCGTCTTGACTTGTAGAGGGAGGGGGGGGGTCAGGGCCCAGCAGTTCGTTCAACGTTTTGATAAGTGTTAGCTTTATGAGCATAATGCCCATTGTTCAAAGTCAACTTAGGATCTTGGGGTCTGCACGTTTTGATCTTATTCGTGTTTAGTAAAGTGGAAATATGAATTAAAGGTAAACGTTTTTTTTACTACCACCGTTTCTTGACAGTCCCGCTTCGACTGTCTCAGTTTTCCATTAGTCTATAGACCAAACCCTTTTATCATCATCGCTAATTTTATCAAATCCTATTTAGAAATAGACCTAAAGCAACAATTCTAAAATAACATTTCCTATCCTCTTTTTTTTTTTTTTTTTTTGAAGCAGTACGTACCCCAATATTCCACAGACAGTAGAGATTGGTCCTATTTGCTAGCGAAAAATTCAAGGGCAAAAACAGGTTACTGTCAAGAGTACAAATACAGTTAAAAATAATCTTGTTCGCGAAAGGTGTTGTGTTTTTTTGTTACGCATGGAAGGGTGCCCATATTTGAAGCTTATATAACAGGGATAATGCGTGTTTTTATGCTCGTAGATTAACCTTGATCTTATGTGTGCACACACTGAAGGCAGTGTCGCTGTCAACAGCGTTAACATACATGTACCGTAGTTTAAAATGCATGGTCTAACATGTATGAGTATAACCTAATTTCTTCCGAAGAATCAAGGCAGTTTGAATGCGCCCGTGCTTGTGTATGTGTGTGTTTGTGTGTGTAATTGTGACTGTGTGTGCGTGTATTAAGTAAAGAGAGGGGGTCAACTCCCACATTTTTCGACCGTGCCGGTGTCAAGCAACACAGAGTCCTACCATTCTAGGGTCCGGCGGACCCGGTGTTTTAAAACTGAGAGTCCGGCGGACTCCCTGTCTCGAAATAACGGGTCCCGGACTCTATGTTCTGAAATGTAGAGTCCCCCTAGACACTCTATTTCAGTACGGAAAGTCCTAGGACCCTACGTTTTAATACTGAAAGTCCGCATTGAAGAGCAATAATGAAATCTCACACTTAAAACATGCAATTTAAAAATGGCATTGGACATGATGTTAACTGATACGGGGGGGAAGAATTATAAGGATTACAGTTAAAATAAACATTATTAACCTCTGTTAAAGTATAACGCGTAGTATAAATGTGCATTGTTCGCATTTCATAAACTTATTTGCAGGATTATCTTTTGTATGCAATTGAAAAAGAACATCACTCAAGAAATATAAATTTATTCAGAATACACAAGTTCTTCTGNTGTGCGCGCGCGCGCTCGCACATCTCTCTTTTTTGTCATCGTCTAGCCTATGTGTATCTCACTATACGAATACTTTCTTCCACACCTTATGTGTGGAGACGTGTTTGTTTTTTCAAGTGTTGGTTTCTTTTCACGTTTCAAACAACAAATAAATACTTCCGTTTTGACATGTAAGTGTTGTACATGTATTGATAAGTACCAAAGAAAACATAGGCAAAAAAGAAATGTTAAATACACATTGGACCATATCGCCGGTAAATGCCCCACAGAGGACAGCAAGAAAAGCGACTTGCAGAAACTAGGGAGACAAGTAAACAGTTCAGGCAGGAAGAGAAAACCGAATATTTATTCATCCCATTATTTCCGTTTGCTGATCACCTCCTTAAGCGTCTTGACTTGTAAAGGGAGGGGGGGGGGGGGGTCAGGGCCCAGCAGTTCGTTCAACGTTTTCATAAGTGTTAGCTTTATGAGCATAATGCCCATTGTTCAAAGTCAACTTAGGATTTTGGTGTCTGCACGTTTTGATCTTATTCGTGTTTAGTAAAGTGGAAATACGAATTAAAGGTAAACGTTTTTTTTACTACCACCGTTTCTTGACAGTCCCGCTTCGACAGTCTGAGTTTTCCATTATTTATAGACCAAAACCCTTTTATCATCATCGCTAATTTTATCAAATCCTTTTTAGAAATGGACCTAAACAACAATTCTAAATAAAATTTCCTATCCTCTTTTTTTTTTGAAGCAGTACCCCAATATTCCATAGACAGTTGAGATTGGTCCTATTTGCTAGCGAAACATTCAAGGGCAAATATAGGTTTCTGTCAAGAGTACAAATACAGGTAAAAATAATCTTGTTCGCGAAAGGTGTTGTGTTTTTTGTTACGCATGGAAGAGTGCCCATATTTGAAGCTTATATAACAGGGATAATGCGTGTTTTTATGCTCGTAGATTAACCTTGATCTTATGTGTGCACACACTGAAGGCAGCATGGCTGTCAACAACGTTAACATACATGTACCGTAGTTTAAAATACATGAGCTAACATGTATGAGTATAACCTAATTTCTTCCGAAGAATCAAGGCAGTTTGAATGCGCCCGTGCTTGTGTATGTGTGTGTTTGTGTGTGTAATTGTGACTGTGTGTGCGTGTATTAAGTAAAGAGAGGGGGTCAACTCCCACATTTTTCGACCGTGCCGGTCAAAAGCACAGAAGCAAGGCGGGGGAGCTGAATGGTGGAATCCTCACACGGACCCGCCGTAATATTTTTTCAGAAAGATTATAGGGCCGCTCCCACTAAGCTACTAGTACATGTGTGTTCCCCAGACTTGTGATATACAGGTAGCACTTTAAGGGATTTACACTGCACGTGAAGTTAATGGAACTTTTTGGTGCTAATTACATGTATGTTTTTATTTTTGTTTATTTTAAACTAGAAACATGCGCAAGTGCGGTTTTGACATTTCACAAGAAACAGTTTTGTGATTTTTCTCACAGCTAAGCAAATATTGGACAGAACTGTTTTTCTTCATTCGCATTTTCTTTTGTTTATTTGATACCAAATTGTCCTTTAACGGTATGTCATCATGATATCTAGGGGGCGGGTGAGTTTGGGATGGGCAGTTGTAGTAGAAAAAATTTGTTTTGTTTAGATCAGAGTGAAGGAGCAAGACCTGTTCTTACTTTCTACCCAGATACAGCTTATTCTACCCTGAGAGTCAGGGCACTGTAAAGCTAGCTTGCTCACTACTTTCTATGTGTTAGCTTAACTGATAAGATCGAGCTGGCAATACTGCAATCTAGAACCCAGGATAGCCTAGTCTTGAAACAAGGAGATTTATTCTTGGTGAAAGAAATCAACTAAACACTACTTTTAGATGCACCAAGAGAGTATTATAAAGTATACCGAAAATTATATTGTAAGTACCAATACACATATCTCTATGAATACACGAACAACTTATGCATTGTTAAAATTTTATTTCAGTCTCAAGAAACACACAGCCATGTGCATTAAAACGATGTTAATGAAATTTTCCCTGGGGTTTTGTCTCTTACACTTAGGGAATCTTGCCCAAGCGCAATCAACAACAGGTAACAAATGTATTTCTTTTGCATGTGTCGTCGGGTATTTGTGTGCGTGCAAGAAGGTGGTCCAGGCGATTGTGTCTGCTATGTACACACACTGGACAAAAGAAGTGTCACCCCTACTGAGCCAATACTATGGGGGAGATAAATGACTGCGGAATGATAGGCTCCTGGTATCATTTTATTAACATCAAATTTCACAAAAAATCACAAAATGAGAACANACTTCTTTTGTCCAGTGTGTGTACAAATTGATCAAACATGATGACTTATCCCAGCAGGCATAGTGACATTGGATCAACGTTAAAAACAGGTTGGGACGTTGAATCGCCGTTGATCTACCTAAATTCAACGTCAAATCAATGTTGATTCAGCCACATCAAAACGCCGTCACAATGTGAGGTTGACTCAACGTTGTATTTTGGTCGTTGACTCAACGTTGTTGTTAGGTCGTCGTGATGCAAGACATGGATCGTAATTAAAAATATTAATCATTGAAAATGTGATAATATGTTTATCGATACTGTAACGAACTTTATCAAAATATTAAAAAGTGTGCTTTAAAGTAAAAGTGACAGTTGTTTTGTGTCTTTAGTGAACTAGTGAATTTTTTTAATATGTTTAATTAGAAATACATTTCAATAAACTTCCTCGTAAGGTCAGCTAACACAAGGATGAATAAGTCGCTGTAAATGTGATGGAGTGATATCAACGGTGTTGACAGTTCACGGTACCCTGTTATAGACAAATAGGTTGAGGTGACCGTGTCTTTCTGATATATATATAAACCTCGGAAATCCTAACTGAAAGGCCATATATATATATATATATATATATATATATATATATATATATATATATATATATACCCTACATATATCTAGCCATCATACGCATCCTAGTACTGCTAAACACATCAAGGCTAAAAGCGTGTAACATGCTTAGGAGCAAAACGTGCTTCGGAGCTAAATGCGTTGAAAAAATGAGACAAGGCAGGCATCTAGATGTTTTTACAGTGTACGTTATAATTGTGTACCTGTGTTTTTGTATATAAAAAAACATTTCAGGTCATTTTTATGTCTTTTCATGCAAGAATGTTGTAAAACAACTGGGGTTGATACAATGTTGTTATTTGACGTTGATCCAACTTTCAAATCCAATGTTAATCCAACGTCTTGTTAACGTTAAATTCAACATTGTTTCAACGTTGAAACAACATGGTTTGCCCGCTGCCCAGCAGACAAACGACATTGATTCACCGTTGAATCAACGTTAATTTTGGTGAATCAATGTAGAATCAATGTCGTTTGCCTGCTGGTTGGGATCTAACGACCGTGTGCGTCGCAAGCCCTGTAAATAATGCGGTTTACATCGAATTATTAGATGGGAAAGATGGGAATTCATTCAACTAACTAATAAAATAAATGTCGGAAATAAATCGGTGTCCAGAAATAATTACATGACATTGTCCAATTGACTAATAACTGAGCGTTTTCTATGGGTTTTCGTAGGGGTAGGGTGGAAGAAACGGGGGTGTCATAGGGATACGTTTGTTTTGCTCGGCAATTTTACTTTGATATGTAGTATTAGGACACAGGGATGGAAATTCCTGTTTCGGGGGAGAAAGGGGCACCTCAGGGGCACTGCAGGGGTGGGGGGGGGATTGTGCCTCCTGGTCCCGTCATTACACGGGCACATACATATGCACCGTTTACAATTTTTGCAGCGAATTAATCTCGGCATTTGAGAAAACATGACAAATGTTATAGAACGATACTTAAATATGAAGATACATTTAGACTGTAAAACAATAACATTATGATAATAATAGGTCTTATTGAAGCCATTCAGAATGAGAACAGCTGAGTGCTAGCTAGGCCACGACCTTAATATGGCGGGCCTGCATGAAAGGAAGGCCGCTTAATTAATCCTGTAATGGTCTCTCTGCAGGGGAACAGTAATTAAATATCGGCTTAATTCAGCGGCCGAGGGACGACGTGTGGGGAGCCGTGTGAGAGGCGGAGAGGCCATTACAGGATTAAGCGGTCTTCCTTTCATGTAGGTCCGCCATATTTAGGTCGTGGCCTTGCTAGCACTCGACTCTTCTCTTTCTATATGACCTCAATGAATTGTTATTTCAATCCAGTTCATCCTGTAAATGATGAAAAAATTACAATGAAATCAGTTATAAAACTTCTCAAAAGGTCATTCCCATAAAACAACGTTCAGATGCAACAGGACAAAAGACGTCAAAAGTGACACACGCAGAATGGGGTAAATGAGATTGATATTTACCTAGCTGTGCTGAATAATATGTAAATGTTCATTCACCGAATAACCACTACAGTTCCTTTCTTATTTAACATTACCAACGTAAAATCTTTGCCTATCTACAGGGGTATTCACCGTAGAAACAGTAGTATCCCGCCTGTATAATTCAGTAAATCTAATGTTTCAATTACAGTAAATATGAAACTATCACAAGGGTAACCATCCTCCTTACCATTATCCTGGCTGTACTTGTGGTAGCACAAATAGAGTGCTGTCTACAAATGTCATTTCAGGTGAACCTAGTGGCAACACCTTTGAAACAGTTTCATCCACTGCAGGTGTATCAACATTCAGAAGAACAGAACCTACTGCAACTGCTTCAGATGGATCAACCTACTCCATTACAGAACCTACTACAACTACGACAGATGATTCAACATACTCCACCATTGAACCTTCTATAACTTCAAAAGATGGACTGACATATTCCGCAACGGAACCAACTGCAACAACTACGGATGGATCAACAAACTCCATCTCAGAACATACTACAACAACTGCAGACGGGTCATCAAACTCCTTTACAAACCCTAGTACTTCTACAATTAGGTCAACAATCGCAAGTAGAGAACTTACTACAACTACTACAAATGGCTCAACATACTCTATTACAGATCCTAAGACATCTACAGCAGATGAATCAACATTATACAATACGGGAACAACTACAACTACTACATTTGATTCAACATACTCTACTACAGATCATACTACAACAACTACAGATGAATCGACTTACTCCACAACAGAGAAAACGACAACTACAACAGATGAATCAACATACTCCACTACAGAACCAATGACAACAACTAAAGATGGATTTACAAACTCCACTACAGAACCAACGACAACTACTACAGAGGAATCAACTCACAATCATTTCACTACAGATAAATCAACATACTCCACTACAGATCGTACTACAACTATAATAGATGAATCAACATACTCCACTACAGATTCTTCTACAACTAGTACGGATGATTCAACATACTCCACTACAGAACAAACGACAACTAGTACGGATGATTCAACATACTCCACTATAGAACCAACCAAAACTACTACAGATGAAACAACATACTCCACTACAGAACCAACAACAACTACTTCAGATGAATCAACATACTCCACTACAGAACCAACGACAACTACTACAGATGAATCAATATACTCCACTAAAAAACCAACAACAACTAGTACGGATGATTCAACATACTCCACTAGAGAACCAACGACAACTACTTCAGATGAATCAACATACTCCACTACAGGACCAACGACAACTACTACAGATAAGTCAACGTACTCCACTACAGAACCAACTACAACTACTTCAGATGAATCAACATACTCCACTACAGAACCAACGACAACTACTTCAGATGAATCAACATACTCTACTACAGAACCAACGACAACTACTTCAGATGAGTCAACATACTCCACTACAGAACCAACGACAATTACTACAGATGAATCAACATACTCCACTACAAAACCAACGNGATAAAAAGTGAGTATAGCACATTTTATTGCGGAATGAAACACAATAAATAGACAGTAAGTAGAATATTTAAGTAGAGATTTAAAAAACAAGAGTGAAAATAGAGACGTTATACAGTCAACTCTAGTATGGGACTCGAACCAACACATTGTTAAATTACTGCATACTTCCCTGTCATTGGATACCATTGTAGTCTCATAACACGTGTCGCTGTCCACTACACCACCAGGTCGTTGTGCAAACCACCGCCGTTTTGTTACATAATATTTACTTGCATCAAGGGTTTGCTTTATTATAATTCTATTATACCCAGATTGTCAATATAAAGCGCTTTTACTAAATATCTACTGTTCTACAGTAGGACCCTAGCTTTTAGACCCAGTTCTTCTGTATGACGGACGGACTCTGTGTTTCGTGATAGCTGTCATGAAACGTAGGGTCCGGTTAAATGCAGGGTCCGGGGGACCCTGTATATTATACCTAATCACCATTATACAGAGTCCGAGACCCGTTATTTCAGAAACCAGGGGTCCGTAGGACCCCTGGTTTCTGAAATAACGGGTCCCGGACTTTCTGTCATGGGGGACCTTCTGGTACATGACACCGGTCAAAAGCACAGAAGCAAGGCGGGGGAGCTGAATGGTGGAATCCTCACACGGACCCGCCGTAATTTTTTTTCAGAAAGAGTATAGGGCCGCTCCCACTTAGCTACTAGTATGTTCCCTAGACTTGTGATATAGAGGTAGCACTTTTAGGGATTTACATTGCATGTGAAGTTAATGCAACTTTTTGGTGCTAATTACATGTATGTTTTTATTTTTATTTATTTTAAACTAGAAACATGCGCAAGTGCGGTTTTGACATTTCACAAGAAACAGGTTTGTGATTTTTTCTCACAGCTAAGCAAATACTGGACAGAACTGTTTTTCTTCATTCGCATTTTCTTTTATTTATTTGATACCAAATTGTCCTTTAACGGCAAGTCATCATGATGTCAAGGGGGCGGGTGAGTTTGGGATGGGCAGTTGTAGTAGAAAAAATTTGTTTTGTTTAGATCAGAGTGAAGGAGCAAGACCTGTTCTAACTTTCTACCCAGATACAGCTTAATCTACCCTGAGAGTCAGGGCACTGCAAAGCTAGCTTGCTCACTATACCTTTCTATGTGTTAGCTTTACTGATGTGGGTTATATATGAAATCAAGATCGAGCTGGCAATACTGCAATCTAGAACCCAGGATAGGCTAGTCTTGCAACAAGGAAATTTATTCTTGGTGAAAGAAATCAACTAAACACTACTTTTAGATGCACCAATAGAGTATTATAAAGTATACTGAAAATTATATTGTAAGTACCAGTATACATATCTCTATGAATACACGAACAACTTATGTATTATTAAAATTTTATTTCAGTCTCAAGAAACACACAGCCATGTGCATTAAAACGATGTTAATGACATTTTCCCTGGGGTTTTGTCTCTTACACTTAGGGAATCTTGCCAAAGCGCAATCAACAACAGGTAACAAATGTATTTCTTTGGCATGTGTCGTCGGGTATTTGTGTGCGTGCAAGAAGGTGGTTCAGGCGATTGTGTATGTGTGTGTGTGCGTATGTACAAATTGATCAAACATGATGACTTATCTTACGACTGTGTGCTTCGAAAGCGCCATAAAATAATGCGGTATACATCGGATTATTAGATGAGGAAAGATGGAAATTAAATAAGTGGCATTGTATAATTGACTCATAACTGAGCGTTTTCTTAAGTTTTCCTGGGGGTCGGGGTGGGAGAAACAGGGAAGCCATAGGGATACGTTTGCTTTGCTCGACAGTTTTACTTTGATATGTAGTAGTAGGACACAGGGATGGAAACTCCTGTTTCGGGGGAGAAGGGGGCACCTTAGGGGCACTGCGGGGGGAGGGGGGGGGGGGCGTTGTGCCTCCTGGTCCCGTTATTACACGGGCACATACATATGCACCGTTTACCTTTGTGACGGCACAATTTGTCGCCGGTACAAATTGTCGTCCTTGTAGGTGGCGACAAACTGTGTAGGCATTGTCAGCACAATTTTTCGCCCTGCACAAATTGTCGCCAGCTACAATAATGTATACAATAACTTGTGTGCGTACATACAAATGAAGGGTTTGTTAGCAAAAGTAAATAAATCCAGTCCGACAAGTGACCCACTTGAATGAATGTCCCACCCTGCTGCTTTAGCACTAGTTAATCACTGTTAAATAAATTTATTAATGTTCGTGCAACTTGTCTAAGGACGACAATCTGTGCCGGCGACAATTTGTGCCGTCACATACGTTGTTTGCAGCGAATTAATCTCGGCATTTGAGAAAACATGACAAATGTTATAGAACGATGCTTAAATATAAAGATAATTTTTGATTGTATATAATTACATTATGATCATAATCGGTCTTATTGAAGCCATTCGGAATGAGAACTGCTGAGTGCTAGCTAGGCCAAGCCTTTATATGGCGGAACTGCATGAAAGGAAGTCCGCTTAGTTAATCCTGTAATGGTCTCTCCGCCTCTCACAAAGGCGCCCCGTGCGTCGTCCCTGCAAGGGCACAGTAATTAAATCTTGGCTCAATTCAACCGGCCAAGGGACGAGCAGGGTAATCATCCTCCCTTCCATTATCTTCGTTGTAATTGAGGTAGCACAAATACAGTGCTGTCTACTAACGTCATCACAGGTGAATCTGGTGGCACCATCGTAGAAACTATTTCATCCATTGCAGAAATATCTACATACATAACTACAGAAAGTACTTCAGCTACTACAGGTGAATCAACACACTCCACTACAGAACCTACAACAACTACGAGAGATGATTCAACGTACTCGACAACAGAACCTACTGCAACTGCTACAGATAGATCAACATACTCCACTACAGAATATAATACAACCAATACAGATGGGTCAACATACCTAGGTACAGATCCAATTACAACAACTACAGATGGATCAACATACTCCACTACAAAACCTACGACAACTACTACAGATGATTCAACTTACTCTACTACAGAACCTACTGCAGCTGCTAGAGACAGATCATCATACTCCACTGCAGAACCTACTACAACTACTACAGATGAATCAACAAACTCCACTATAGAACAAACTACAACAACTACAGAAGGATCAACATACTCCACTACAGATCCTACAACATTTACCACAGATGAATCAACATACTCCACTACAGAACAAACTACAACAATTACAGTAGGATCAACATACACCACTACAGATCCTACAACAACTACCACAGATGAATCAACATACTCCACCACAGAACCTACAACAACTACCACAGATGAATCAACATACTCCACCACAGATCCTTCTACAACTACCACAAATGAATCAACATACTCCACTACAGAACAAACTACAACAACTACAGAAGGATCAACATACTCCACTACAGAACAAACTACAACAACTACCACAGATGAATCAACATACTCCACCACAGAACCTACAACAACTACCACAGATGAATCAACATACTCCACTTCAGATCCTACAACAACTACCACGGATGAATCAACATACTCCACCACAGAACCTACAACAACTACCACAGATGAATCAACATACTCCACTACAGAACCTACAACAACTACCACAGATAAATCAACATACTCCACTACAGAACAAACTACAACAACTACAGAAGGATCAACATACTCCACTACAGAACCTACAACAACTACCACAGATGAATCAACATACTCCACCACAGATCCTACTACAACTACCACAGAAAAATCAACATACTCCACTACAGAACAAACTACAACAACTACAGAAGGATCAACATACTCCACTACAAATCCTACAACATCTACCACAGATGAATCAACATACTCCTTTTCAGATCCTACAACATCTTCCACAGATGAATCAACATACTCCACTACAGAACTAACTACAACAACTACCACAGATGAATCAACATACTCCACCACAGATCCTACAACAACTACCACAGATGAATCAACATACTCCACTACAGAACAAACTGCAATAACTACAGAAGGATCAACATACTCTACTACAGATCCTACAACTAGCACAGATAAATCAACATACTCCACTTCAGATCCTACAACAACTACCACAGATGAATCAACATACTCCACTACAGAACAAACTACAATAACTACAGAAGGATCAACATATTCCACTACAGATCCTACAACTAGCACAGATGAATCAACATACTCCACTTCAGATCCTACAACATCTACCACAGATAAATCAACGTACTCCACCACAGATCCTACAACAACTACCACAGATGAATCAACATACTCCACTTCAGATCCTACAATATCTACCACAGATGAATCAACATACTCCATTTCAGATCCTACAACATATACCACAGATGAATCAACATACTCCACTACAGAACAAACTACAATAACTACAGAAGGATCAACATACTCCACTACAGATCCTACAACTAGCACAGATGAATCAACATACTCCACTTCAGATCCTACAACAACTACCACAGATGGGTCAACATACTCCACTACAGAACTAACTACAACAACTACAGATGGATCGACATACTCCACTACAGAACCAAATACAACAACTACAGATGGAACAACATACTCCACTACAGAACCTCCTACAACTACCACAGATGAATCAACATACTCCACTACAGAACCTTTTACAACAACTACCACAGATGAATCAACATACTCCACTACAGAACCTACAACAACTACCACAGATGAATCAACATACCCCACTTCAGATCCTACAACAACTACCACAGATGAATCAACATACTCCACTTCAGATCCTACAACATCTACCACAGATGAATCAACATACTCCACTACAGATCCTACAATAACTACCACAGATGGGTCAACATACTCCACTGCAAAACTAACTACAACAACTACAGATGGATCAACATACTCCACTACAGAACCAATTATAACAACTACAAATGGAACAACATACTCCACTACAGAAACAACTAGAACTACTACAGATGAATCGACATACTCCACTACAGAACCTCCTACAACTACCACAGATGAATCAACATACTCCACTACAGATCCTACAATATCTACCACAGATGAATCAACATACTCCACTACAGATAATACAACAACTACCACAGATGGGTCAACATACTCCACTGCAAAACTAACTACAACAACTACAGATGGATCAACATACTCCACTACAGAACAAACTACAACAACTACCACAGATGAATCAACATACTCCACTACAGAACAAACTACAACAACTACAGAAGAATCAACATACTCCACTACAGATCCTACAACTACCACAGATGAATCAACATACTCCACTACAGATCCTACAATATCTACCACAGATGAATCAACATACTCCACTACAGATAATACAACAACTACCACAGATGAATCAACATACTCCACTACAGATCCTACAACTTCTACCACAGTTGAATCAACATACTCCACTACAGAACAAACTACAACAACTACAGAAGAATCAACATACTCCACTACAGATCCTACAACTACCACAGATGAATCAACATACTTCACTACAGATCCTACAACATCTACCACAGATGAATCAACATACTCCACTACAGATCCTACTACAACTACTGTAGATGAGTCAACATATTCCACTACAGATCCTACTAAAACTACTACAGATGGATTTACATACTCTACTACAGAGCCAATTACAACTACTACAGATGGATCAACATACTCCACTACAGAACCAACTACATCTACTACAGATGAGTCAACATATTCCACTACAGATCTTACTCAAATTACTACAGATGGATTTACATACTCTACTACAGAGCCAATTACAACTACTACAGATGGATCAACATACTCCACTACAGAACCGAATATAAACATTACAGGTAGGTTTACATACAGTTTTACATGAACCACTTTAATCACTTAAGTCTAAATATACATGTATGTCTGCTGGGCTTAATACCACGATAAAAGGTGTTTTTACTTGAACATGAAGTTATCTTGGATTGGAAGATTTAGATTGCATTCAAATGTAAAAAAAATAACCTTGCGTTCCCTCGCAAAGATCGCGTTCGAAAGTAAAAACCATTGCGTCCCTTAGAAAGACTGCGTTCCAACTTGAAAGTTATTGCGTCAAGAGGCGTTTTTTGCACTCCCCTTTAAAAGCTGAGAACGATCCTGCCATTTACACACGTTACTGTGACTACTAATATGAAATTACCGTAATGCTTCTTTTTCTTTGATTTTCAGTCATCGGTTCCAGTTGCACATCTACTGAACAGTGCCTGCGTCGTTCAACTTTAAGCATTGCTTCTAATCCGGTGTCTTGCCAGGACACTGATGGTGATGGTCGAAATGACACGTGTCTTTGTGACGATGGTCACTTCTGGCATGTGCAAGACAGAACATGTACTCCTTATCGTCGTAAGTGAAAAGAAGGGTTCACTTGGTTGTGTGTGTCAATTATAAAATATGTAGGGTCCACGAGTTTGCGATAAACCTCAAATTTAAGATAAATAAACTAAACCAAGTGACAATTAGTTGTATAAACGCGGTTAAGGCGTAATTAAACTACATATTTCGTAAAACGTAAAATTGTAAAGTGCCATCTTTTATTTAACCCAATGGTAAAACATATTGCAAAATTGCTATTTATGGTATTTTTCCTTAGGTTTTGTATGCCGTGATGACTATATATATGTAGCGCCCAGGTGGAGAAAGGAACAATCAGACGAAGATATATATTTTGGTTCCTTTTGCGTCATGCTTCAAACCAATGCCCTGTCATGGACCGAGGCAGTGGAAGGTTGCCGCTCCCACTCAGGCAATATGTTGACACTCTCCGACTTCACTTTGCCACGACCATATTCCTCTTATACGCAGTATTTGATTCAGACTTTACATGCCAGTAAGTTGTCTAAATGGAAAATCAACTTGCAATATAACATTGTATTATAAGCCAAGTGTATTTGTTAAAAAAATCTTTAAGTAGTACTGCATGGGTGGCTGATATCTAAATATCCATGTTTATTCATGACTGCTAGAAATTCTAGTTAATTCCTGTGGCAATCTGTATTCTCATTATCAGGCATTTCTTCAAGATATTGGACCAGCATGAGGTTAAGTCAAGCCATACACAACTTTATCTGGGAAGGTGTATATCCTCAACCCGTTAACTACAGGTAAAACGGACATCGCCTGTTACACTAAAACAATTTGACCCAGTAACTGTATACGCTTTGTATTATTTGGCATAATAGTGAGTCTTTTCACCACCACTGAAGTAATACCGCCTTGGAAATAACATTTACCATTCTTGAGATATCATATGTGCATAGGTAGATCACAGCTATAACCAGCAAAAAATTCTTTAATTTCAAAAGTGAACATGACATGTGGCAGTGGTCGGACAATCAGCCTCTCCCGCTCCATGGTAACTGCGTTGCTACCACAAACATCTCCATATACGGTCGTGCAAACTTAACCACTGAGCCATGTGACAGCAGACTGCCCTCTATTTGTACCCACACCCCCATCAGACCGGAACTGAGCACAGGTGAGCATAATGCGAATTTTCCATTGGCGAATATGGGGGGCAATGGCTCAGCTAGGTGCCTCCGTCACCTCCTGGGATATCCACTTTTGCGTTTTTACGAAAGGGAGAACGAGGCAATTTTTCAAGCGATGTGCTTCTAGATATGAAAATTTAATGCTGGCTTGTTCATAGTTAAATCTTTAACGATATCGTCCACGATGAAATTGGTTTTATTTTCATAGTGGTGAATCATTGAATCATCATCCGTCATACAGGTACATATCCATATGTATTGTTCTCATCTTTTTTAAAAGTCGTCCGAGAAATTGGTGTCTAAGCATTTTACTTTATTACATATATATTTATTACATATATAACACAGCTTTATCAAATACCTTTTTAAAACCGCCTGTTTTTTGTAGTTTCGAAATGCCCTGAAGGTTGGCAAGGATCGGCGGAACTAGACAAATGTTTTAAATTTAATAAGGAACCGGCGTCTTACAAAAATGCAAAGTCGTACTGTTCCTCTGTGGGAGGAAGACTGTATATTCCGCCCTCCTCTTCCTTCATGAGAGCGTTTGCTATTCGTGGATTTGTTTTCATGGGAGGTGAGGACTTGAGTGATCCGTTTGAAAGGTTTGATAGTAGAACACTTAACCATTCGCGGTGCCATTTCGTCCATTTCCCTTTGAGTTTTTCCCTTTTTTTAATTTAGTTATAATAACACATTTTACTTATTCTGTTTTGATTATGTTATTTTTTTAGTATTAAGTTGATACAAGAGCGTATAGCTATGTTTGAAAAGTGAAACGAACAAATGAACACTTTGTTTTAAAGGGCACCATGCTTTTAAAACTGCACAATTGTAAGGCAAGCATTGTATTTCCAGTGGAATACGCCAGGGTCGGTGTTACCTGTCACACAAAGACGTCCTTGTGCAAGTTAGAAGATGGACAGGTCGTCCCATTGCATCAATTACGGTCTCTGATTGGAGGGTCCATCCTGCCCGATCAGTTCGGCTCCACCGGAGAAAGATCTGGCAGCAATTCCATGCAAGATGAAACCTGCTTGGGCTTCGATCAGAGTGCAATTTTTGGTCGAATTCTGTACGCATCTACAAACTGCAATGAATCTTTGCCGTTTATATGCGAATATGATTTGGCTATTATTGGTATGCACTTTGAATGCATTCTGCAATATGTTAATATGTTAATTTGCAGTGGTCATAGAATAGTCTATAAATGTATTTCACGTATACCTTTAAGAGCCCATAAAAAACGCAGACCTCTACCAAGGCAGACCAGTTCCTTTTATTAATCAACTTATCTATATAATCAATGGATCACCACAGGATTATAATCGTTTCTTAAGAGGCCCACTCTTGGCAGTTTTTAGAAAAATTATCAATATCTGTCCTTGCATAATATTGCTAACAGACGGAGGAGGTAATAATTAATAGGTAAATACACAGTATACAAACTGGTGAAGAACTGAACGCTCCAAAAAGTGAATGATAAGGTTTACCTATATTATGAAGAAATTTTGAAGATAAGCTTTATTATAAGCAAAAACTTAACTTAAAACATACTCTCTTTTTAGCATCAGACGTGAATATCTCAGATCCCGTCTTTGATGAATCCTCTGAAACCCTCACGTACTCAGTGTCAAACTATGACCCAAACACCTTCGTGACGTTTGTGAAAGACGGGTTACAAAACCTTCACCGCACTCTGGTTCCAGCGAATTTGACAGTTACCTACCCCTTACGGGTACCACCAACGCAATCGAGAGGCGAAAGGCAAGGGTACTACTCTATTGAGGTTTGGGGAAAGAAGCCATACAGACGGTATAGCTCTGGACTATATCTTCTAAGATATATCGGTAGGTAACTTTTTTAATGCACATTATTTATAGCAGGGAATGACGACAGCATAATAATTGCATAAATACTGAGATACTGTATATGCAGGAAATATGTAAGGTTATTTTTTAATTTTACTAGTTTATAAAAATTAGCATTTAGATTAAAACGCACTTAGTAAGTATGTTACACATATACAGATCTAAGTGTTTTTTTTTATATAGCTGTGAACATCATGTGAAAAAAAGCATATATAGCACGTATTTTTAGAAAATTATATTAGCTTTATATAATAAGGTATATCGGTACAGCAAAAAAAAAAAAAAAAAAAAAAAAAGCTTTCTTTAAAATGGTTTGTTTGATGCCTGCAAGTCTGAGATATTTATATAACCGATTCCGTTTGATTTCATAATTCAGATATATTCACGTTTAACGGTACCATGAAATCACGCTATCTCGCTTCATCCCCGAAGGATTACACAGAACCGTCTCTGTATGGCGGAGGAGTGGAACATCAGCCGGGTGTTCGACAAACGCCCTTTGGTCAGATCTCGAAAGACGTGAGAAGACTAGGAAATGAGATTTCCAGGATTTCCCAAAACTTATCCGTAGAGATGGTGTTAACAGATGTGTGGTAAGCATCACGATACAGCACACAAGTATTCTTCTTCTTCTTATTATTATTATTATTAATTGCAACTAAATACGGCTGGACAGTGCAACATTATCATAATATTCCTTCACACTTTTCTGTTTCCAAAGGTACGCAAACACTGGCGGACTTCTTGTAGATTTCCGAGCACATGTACAAAATGCTCAGCGTCGAAAGCGACGTAGTGGCGTCATTGCCAACAGAACGATGGATGATATTCTGGGGGATTTGAATGCAGAACTAAGAGGGGTTATGCAGATTTTCGGTTTTATACCGTCTACTCTTCAATTACAGGTCCACCCATGGGCAGAAGGTTAGTCAAATATAACCTTGCCTTCGTATACAATAAAAACTTCTTTAATATTTTGGATATATTTTTCAAATTTTTGTTCATTTCTGGTGGTCATATTTGGATTATTGCCGATTTCTAAAGAATAACGTTGAATTGATGAAATTTTAGACGATGTTTTAATTACTTTTTTAGACTTATTTTTACTTGTTTAACATTTTGTAAATTGTCGACGTCTGTTTATTGACATTCACATACGTTTAGCAACAAGTGAAATCAAATTGTCAAGCAAATCTGATGTGATACACTCTTCAACACATTACTCGTGCAATAGAACGTTTTTCTTTGTAATTTCATCACCAAATGAGCTCAAGATTTCCCTGAGGTTTTTAATATCTAAGTTTTTTGCCTTTTGTTTCAGCAGGAAAACCGCCGCCAGCTCCAGGTAAGGTTTTGGGGAACTTATTACAGTACCTGGTTGATGAATTTAATGTGGTATTGTGATGATTCATGGTTTACCATAATAATATACGCAATATATATTAAATGAGAGGATACAAAAAAAAAAGACATCCAAAATGAAGATTGTACAACCTTTACACCACAATGACGGCACAACCTCTGAAAGACAATAACTACTTTAACAATGCCATGGTTTGAGAATGCTTACACTTGTAGTTTATAAATATCTAGATGAATTTGCATATATCTGATATTATCATTTCACCATCCACCCTCGTATATGAATTTGCTTCAGCCACCAAACAATTAACCTTCTCCAGTTGTCCAGAAGACATGCAACGACACACAGAGTTCAACACGTCACGAGTCACGTGGCCTACACCGGAAGGGATAGATAATTCAGGGAACATTACTATCGAAGGGGACTATGAACCAGGTATCCTACTTGTCCTACTAGTTAAACTCCATTTTGCTTAATTTAAATGCAGCATCATTTCGCCAAATGTTTGAAATATTGCCAACAGCCTGAAACGGTTTGTAAAACAATTAACTTGTAGCACCATCGATACCCCCTGTATGTTCTGAATATTTTTCAGGCTATGTGTTTCCCGTTGGAAAAACTGTTGTCACGTACACTGCCAGAGACACAGCAGGAAATGAAGCCACTTGCAACTTCACCGTAGAAGTGAAGAAAATAAAGAAAGGTACTGGCATGCAGAATGGCTTTTACACTCCTTGTATCTACATGTAATACAATCCAGTGTATGTGAGCATTGGTTGCCTAAAATGCCAAAAACGATTGTTTTGGTACTTGTTTTTTTTTTTTTAATTTTTCTAAAGAACACAATATATAATGTGAACACAATATATAATGTAACCAACTTTTTTTTTTTTTTTTTTTTTTTTTTTTTTTTTTTTTTTTTTTTTTTTTTTTTTTTTTTTTATTATGGAAAAAAATAATAATAAGTAAATAAATAAACACAAATAGAGTATATA